GGTGTGGGGAAATCGAGAAATTCACTGAATGCTTCTCAAGCTGCTGCTCTGAAGAAGCAGATAAGCTAGAATTAACACACAAGATCACTTCTCATTCTGCAAGATCACTCCATTTGCTGAGAAAGAGGAGAGACACCCCTCCCCGCCCCCCACTTGTTGCAGATTTACAGTCTGTTCCACTGCAATGTTCAAGTGCTTGAAGAGGTTTAGGAACCCTAGAAAAGCTGGGCCACTAAATATCTGAGGATCTGTTTACTATGAGTACTCAGCACCTAGGAAATGAAGCAATGGAAATAGTGAAGTTTTGTAGTGCAGAACGAAAAGAACTGATGAGATGACAGGGCAGATGTGAAAAGTCTGATTTAATTTATTTGCACAGGACCACCTAGGAACTACTAGGTAGAACAGACAGAAGCACTTTTCTGTATTGTTTTTTCCCTGATTTTGCCTCTTCCATTTACCCTGTTCACTACCTGAAATGAGACGGGAATCCTACAGTCAGCAGCCTTATTCACCTTATAATCCAGATTCGTCCAATAAGCACTTTACACCATTAAACTGTGTAAGAAAGGGTTTCTGCAAAACTCATTATGCCATCTTATCAAATACCTCCTCACAGGGCAAAAATAAAGTTGCTCTTGCAAAATACATCCACGTATTACCTAAATTTTGAGTAGTCAACTTTACAGAGAAAATACATTTTATATATGTATATCCTGTGTGATTTTATATATATATATGTACTTATACCTGCCTATAATATACACAAAACTGTCTCTACTATATGCATACACATATATATAATCACACAATTTGTCTTTCCTATGTAGAAAGTCAATATCCATTATCTAGAACAATGGAGGCTGGAATATGGCAAATAATGGGAAACCAGTCCATGGATACTGAGCAGAAGACTGGCTCCAGTATGGGCTTATGAGCTCCAGTTCAGTATCATTCCTGCCAGATCCAAGCTGAGTATGGGACAGCCAGGCCAGATGTCTGTGCATTGTATTCTCCAAATATGATGACGATGATAACAGATTGACTGTGTGTGAACTGACAGGCCTTTGCGGAAACTATGTGGTTCCATGTAGTAGTTCCAGCCCGAGCTTGTCTTCATTCAGAGTCCCTGAGGGTCTCCACACTGTACTTCCCAGCTTTCAGGTTCTGGTAACACACCATGGAAGGCCCAGCTCTCAACTAAATCAAGCTATACAAGCTCTGAAGTTCAAGTTGGCTCTCCACCCTTTATCTCCCAACACTGCCAGAACTTCCTGCCTCACTTAATATCCCGGGCAAATTTATTTCTGATGAGCATGGGGGAGATCCCCAGTTCAATGCTCTCCTCAGCACGGCAGCTGCCAGCTGCTGGTGCTGGAGGTGACTTCTGGCTGCTGCTGGAGACTCCACTCCCCATTCGCAGAGCTTCAAACTGGCCAGCCGTCGACACAGTCACCGCTGAGATGTGCAGCAGCACAGCCCCACAGTTGGAAAAGGGCAATTTCACAGATGTGGCGGAATTACCTGATTCTAATGAAATGTGAAGGGAAGAAGAATATCTCTTCCCCACAGGCTTTTCACACGGTTGAATTTCAGTGATGCAACAGTTAAACAGCTTCTTTACAAAGGCAAAAAAGAACCACCTTGCAACGCCCAAGCAGCAATGCAGAACCCCTTCACACAACCACCAAAATCGAACTCGGGAATTCACAAATCCTTCCAAAAGCTTCAGGTAGGATCTAGCCTGCTCACAAACACTTTTAGCAGAGCAAAGGAGGCTAAAGCCCCACCGTGTGCACCAGAGACCTGAAGAGCCAGACCGCTTCTGCCATCGCAGGATGGGCGAGAGGGCAGAGCTCAGCCCAGGACAGGAGCTGGGCAGAGGCCTTGCCTTTCCGTGCAGCCCACCTTCCCCTGCCTGTCCCCTTCGCACTGGAGAAGTGCCACAGTTCCGCTCCTCATTCCTGGAGCAGGAAAATCCAATTTTCTCAGCACTGCTGAAAAGCCTTGAGCAGCACTAATCTTTCCTAATGAAAAGCAGGAAGGCCACGTGAAAATGAGAACTGCTGCCACTTTTCTCTGTATCAATGCAGTGCAGTTTGTATTCTAGGGCAAACATCACAGCAGAGCCTGTAAGAAATACACTCAAACGCAGCGCAGGAAGGCTTGACTTTTCAAGACCTCTTCAGGAACAAATTTTTGCAAGACCAGTTACACGTGTTTGCCGAACACGTTTAAAGAACAAGGTACTTCACCCTGTTTAAATGATCTCGCCATCTTAGGCTCCAATATGACAGCTACCGAGCAGTGGCAACTCCTAAAGAGATAACACGACTGCAGGCATTTATAGCCCCACAAAAGACACTGCTGCAGTCAAATACCATCACATCTAGGATATCACTACTGGCAAGATACAGTCATTGCTCCATAAAAGACAACCAGCATGAATTTCCCAGTTCCAGATAACTATTCAATGCTAAAAACCACCCTGTCATCCATCTTTAATGAGCTTCTGCGACCAACAGGCCACAGTAAATCCCTCAGTTTTCCCTGAAGATGGACCCTATAGTCACGTGGAATCAATAAATACACGGACTTGAAATGTTTTACGTGGTTCAGCTACGCACCACTGACCACACAGCCTTACACGCCACACAGTGATAAACAGTTTTTACATTTTATCTTACCTCACACGGCACACACATCATCCATGTTTCTGTTTAGATTAATATGTATACTTTGAATAACAGCTTAAAACATTTAGAAAGCCTCAGGATGAATGGTATGTAAATGATCTTCAGAGATATTTACTTCCCATTTT